AGGGCATGGTCTTTGTAGAGCAGCGGCAGTGCGGGTTCACCCACACTTCAAAATCATGTTCAAAATATACTTCCAGCACTGGAGATCCTTACAGGGCTTGAAAATCTAGTTTTACTTTTGAATATGGAATTTGAAGAATAGTACAAATTAGACACGTTACAAACATTTGAAACAAACGGTATAGAAAATAGTAAAAAATGAATTGACAAAATGGAACAAATCTATTTTTTCTAGATCTATAATTGTCAAAATGGAACATATCAATTTTGATACTTTCTAGCATGAAACTGCGTTCTTCCAAAGAGATTTGAGGTGTCTTTATAAAGCTGGGGCCATACATAAATAAGGGCAGGTAGGAGTAAGACATGATAGGATGTCACCCTCCACAGCCTCGTGTTCTTTCTTTTCAACGGCAAAAAAAAGCACCCAACTTTAGAAGAAAATTGTGGTGTTGTGCAAACAAAGGCGTTTCAATAATGACGCTTATATATATATGGTTAGGCTGGAGCGGATCATACATCTCGCGGAAGTTACTATTGATTTCTTTCTTTTCTCTTTATTTTTAATGTTCCATTGAATATTACTCTATTGGAAAAAAATACTTTTAATCATCAACAATGGTCCACCCAAACTGAACCTAAGTTTTCATCTAGGAAAACTTTTAAAAATGCCTATAGGTAAATTGCTACGGATATGCTATGTCTGTGACAATTTTGACTAAAAATCACCACAAACTTATTGGAGCCATGACGGTCCTTTTATATATTTTGTGTCAATTTTGTGTGAAAAAAATCCCGTCACGGATTTGCAATAGCCATGACGGACTGCCACGGACATTCTATATCTGTGACGGTTTTTAATCCACGTCGTCCGAAAAAACCAAACGGCACCGAGCTTATGGGCGAAAATCCACGCCGTCTGAAAAATCCCGACGGCACTAAACTTGTTCATTTTCGCTCATAGACTTTTGTAGTCTCTTCCTTTCATCTATGTTAGTCTTCATTCTTCACTAGACGTTACGTAAAATTTTGATTGTGCCTCATGCATACAACTTCAAAGGGTTCTTTTAGTCTAAAATTAAAATAAATATCAGGAGATGGCTTCCCACTCGACAAAAAAAAAAAAAAAAAACTAACTAACAAACAAACCAAAAAAAAAGAAAGGAGAGAGAGAATATCAAGAGATGCTCCCACTTTAAACAAGTTTCTAGTTCTAAAATAAGAGGAGCTTATGTAACCTACTCCAAGAACACTATACACTTATTAACTCAAGTAAAAGAACACTGTACACTTATTAACTTCAAGAACACTGTACACATAATAACAAATGCATTTTGGATTTCCCCGCGCTCAAGTTTCACAGTCTAAAAACTGGACGGTCAGTTGTTGACTGATCAATTTTAGAACATTATTTTTTTCTAGCACATATAAATGGCACGAATTATTCTTTTTTCGAGTTTGGTTACTAGAATTTGAGGTCTTGAAAATACTTGCAGATGGGTTTTGCTGGGGGGATGATTGTGCTGCAAACAAAAGGAACACATGACCACCCTAATAAGTGCATTACTCAATCCACCAAACCAATTGCTGACCAGATCCAGAGACTGGCTAAGAGAGTGGGTGTACGAAAACAAAAAGCCAGGTTAATTAATGGAGGGCTAGGGTTTTGGTGCATCTAAAAACAAACTTATTGTAGTGAGTACACCCTTCCAAATCCATTTTATTTGTAGATTTGGAGTCCAAAACTTTAAGTTATATCATCTCAACCACTATAATCTTGAATTTGTTAGGGAAATGATAAGCCTTAAAAGTGATTTCTTGTACTCTTTTTATTTTGGACCTTTCATTTTAACTCTTCATCTTGTCATATATGAAAAATCGGGTTGGGGCTTGAGTGGTTCATAGACGAGATTAACAATGCTACATTTCAAGTTTGATTCCTACCGATGAACTACCACCCCAACCCAACCAAAAGAACACCAACCAACCCACCTCCCTCCAATTTTTTTTTTTTAAAAAAAAGGAAAAAAAAAGATGACCAGATATGCACTACTCTTGGAGGCCAATTTCATAGATATGAAGTTGAAATCGTCTCATCAAAATGTACATCGGGTCCTAAAACCCATAAAAAATTGAGGTTGATGCATGAGTGAGCACATTCACCAAAAACTTTTCTTTTATAATATAGAGAAAGGTTTCTATACTTCCCGTACAACATAGAAGATATATAAACAACCTCCCATCCAGCCATCCAATTTAGATTAAGTGAGTCATTGACCGTTTGATCTTATCTGACGCCTTAGAGTCTTTTATTTCTATTTTTTTTACAAAATTTTATGACTATGAAATTTGGTATGTGCTTATTCTCAATGAGACGCACCTAAAAAAAAAAAGTAAAAAGAATTTTTTGATAAAATATAATAACTAAAATACCCCTTTAAACTTTTAGGGGTATTTTGGTTTTTTTATTTTATTGGGAATAGCTTTTTTTTATTTTGTATGAGTGTGATTTTAAGAGAGGAGTGGACGCCCAAAATTTAGTGTCAAAATATTTTATAGAAAAAATTAAAAATAAACTAACGTAGAAACGTGACATTGTGATTGGGGCCATCTCAGCTACCCATTCAAAATTGACGGTTGGATAGAAAAAATATATAAATTTCATGCAAGTGGGAAGCATAAAAGCTTGCCTATGATATAAATCATGGATGCGTAAATAATAATAGTTGTATGGGAATTTCCTTGCACCATGGGCTGCGTAGGCAATTATGAGAAGAATGCACTCTTTTCCTATCAAGAAAAGTCAAAAGAGATTAAAAAAAAAAAAAAAGGGACCAAAAAGAGCGTAAGCTTCAAAGTTCAAACTTTGCCTGTCTACATGTACTGTGCACCTTCACGTGACTATAATATGAGGGTACTTTATGTATTTTACGCACAAAGCATTCAAAGGGAATCACCCAATCTAGACGTTAACCAAAGTTGAAGTACAAATGCCTGCCAGGCTACAACAATGTGCTTTATAAAAGCTTCTCCACATTACCCAATTTTTTTATGCTAAAGGATTCTATGCTCACAAGGGCACTTAATGTCCAAGTACTCCCTCAGGCAAACTATCTAGAAGTTTTTTAGTATCCCAAATTTGGGGATATAACCTTTTCAATATATATGATATACTCAATTAAAAGAAAAAGTATAGAATGAGATTATTTATTTTTGGTACAAAGTAGTCACAACTAATATTGACTATTGGATGTAAAATTGGGTGGCTGCATTTATTCTATCGACTAAACTCAAACTTCAAAAGTATTTTTCTCAAACTTCGTGATATGCCCAAACTATCAGATTTCACATCAAAAGATTGTAAGTAATTGTGACCTTCTTCTTGTATCAAAGGTGAATGGTCTCATTATATACAATTCTCCGGTTAAAATGATTTCCAAAATACATTATCTATAGGCTTGTAACAAATAATGCATGAGGAATGAATAGAAACCATCCAATTTTTGAAGGGTAAAATCAAATGTTACGAATCTCAAAATTAAAAATTTTCTTTTGAATGCAATCATCGAGGTACTTTTAGGTGATTCTAAATATTTTGGAACAAAAGTATTTTTTCTATGTTAGTTTTCTCATTGAGAGAGTAAGTGTACACTATACTTCTATGGGAGCATAATATACATGCTCACTTTTTATTGAATATAGATGTCTACATTTGCTCCTTTGAAGGTCCCGTACCTTTTCCTTTTAGCTATAAGAAACTAAGAACAAAAGCGTTGCGTTCCACTAAAACCAAGTACATTAATGCATGTGTGATTCATTTGATAACATGCTAAACTCACATGGACCTTTTCATTATGTATATTACCTTCACTTTATTGTAGTCATTTTCTAAGGGACTAAGATTTTAGTAAGGATGCGGCTTTACAAACTTGGTAAGACTAAACTCCTTAATCTTGCTAGAAAAATCAATTTTGGTAGAGAAATTTTTTGTTACAACTTGTAAATTTAGTTCTACCCTTACCTATCAAATTTGAAGATCAAAAAATGAGACAGATCTTGACGGTTTGTGAACATTTAAAAAATAACTCTCCGACATAAATGCTGCAAGATACAATGTTGCAAGATGGGTGATTTCACGGGTTAAGAATCTATTTTTTTCCATATCCCATGATCATTGAGGTAGAGATGATAGATTTGTAAATTTTTCATAACCCGATCCACATTTCCCAACAATATTTAAGCTGTTGGGGGCATAAGAGCAAAACAATGTATTTACAAGTTACACATTTTTTTAGGGGGAGCAAACTTGTAGTACAACTTTTCTTGGCACCGTTGGAGGGGCGTAGTTTGGTAGGGCAAAAGAAGAGAATAAAGAGGTGAAAATGTGGGTTTGGGTTTTCGCATCCTTTTCTTTGTTTTAATAGTGAGTATATATCGTACGCACATGGGAGCGCACTGTGTATTTACTCCATCAGGAAAATGACAAAAAGATTTTCTTGATTAGAAATTTTGTGATCCATTTTAGAATCCCTGAGACAAATATTTTCAAAAAAATAGAAAAAAGGATTTTGAGTTCCCAAATAGTTAGATCCGGATCCAATGGAAGCCTCTAATGTTATTTGCTATGAAGTGCCAAAGAAAACTTTTATTATTGAAGAGGTTACATCTCCAATATTTGGAGTCCTAAAAATAGTAGGGGATTTGGGCTCTTTGCATTAGCCAGCGTAGCCAGAGCTACAACGTAACATCGAGAGCTTCGAGCAATCCAATTTAAAAAATGAATCTGGATCGAAGAAAAAGAGCATGATTATAACAGGGTAACCATCTACCATTTGATTTATACGATGGATGGCTGAGATTGAAAGGTGTCCCAGATCATCTGAACCCGAATACCATCCTCTCTAGAACATCATCATTCTCATTGAAAAGTGGCAAAAAACTATATGGCATAGCATTATGCATGTGGTTAGACCCAAATTAAAGTTTGAAGACATCATTACATCACATAACCTCTCATCATTTTATTTAACCCAAACCTTTCAATGCTTAAACAGGGTCATTAAACCAAAAAAAATGGTAGACCCAAACTCAAAACCTAACCAATCCAACATTGCAAAAAAAAAAAAAAACCATAGACAAAATTCAGCAACCAAACATATATATCACATATTTATATTCATATATAGTTGTAACTCTATAACTAAGAAAAGAAGAAGTGAACAACCAGGAAATGGATGTGCATGGACTGGAACAAACAAACTCCAATGTCCAGTCTCCAAGCCATTTATCCACAACAGCTTTATTTCATATATTTTTGACATTTTCTCGACGAAATTTTCAATTTTTTCACGAATTCGTCCTTCTTTCAGCGATTATAATCAGCTGGCGCTCCGGACTAGCATCTCTCTGTACTCCATCTCCCTGTACTCCAGCCTGGCCGTCCGGCTCTGGACCCTCAACTCCTCGTAGAACCTCTTTATAAACTCCTCAGCCTCGGCGTCCACATGCCCGCTATCGTCGTTTTCCGGTGGATATTCCGGCGAGGCCATGACCAATGGGGTCATCCCGGGGGAATACTCTGGCAAGCCGATGGAATACTCCGGCGAGTTGAGGAAATTTCCTGGTGACTTGAGCCGATTTTCCGGTGAGAATTTCGGCAATGTGATGACAATGGCCCTTGGCTCTTCATCTAAAACATGTGAGTGAATGCATGGGAAGGAGGGGAAATGGTGCCTCCTCTTCGACACGTGCGAAAAAATAGCAGGGCTATTGCTACAAGAGAACTCGTAGTCTTGCAGGCCAAACGCACGTGTGGATTCGGAGGAGGGGTGGTGGTGGAATACCAGATTTTGTAAGGACTTTCCGAGTAATTTTCCCCTCTTCGTCATAAGGTTCATGTCCATGACAAGCTTTCTCTTTGAGATGAGGCCTTTCCTCACCATGAAGAAGGCAAGGCGAAGAAGGTTCCACAGCCGCTTGGCCATGGCCGGAGAATGGAGCTCCATGGACGGAAAATAGGTTTTCCCGTGAGTTTGAGGGATGATTTAGCCGGAAATTTGGTCTTTCCTGCGATGTGGCCGGGAAGAGGTGAGGTTTGAGAGGTGGGTTCTTTTTCTGCGAGGTTCCCCAACCTCGCAGAAGGAAGAGAACCCTTATCAGGGGGATGGTGGGTGGGGGATTTATAGTTTCGAATTTTAGAGAGAGAGAGAGCTTTGGGTTGGAGGAGAGAGGGAGAGTGCGTGCTTTTTCGAAGAGAGAGACCGAGGAGTCCTTTGAACGAGAGAAAGGTTTTTTTTTTTTTTTGGAAGAGAGAGAAGAGAGGGGCCTCAGAAGAGAGAGGAGCTTTAAGTAGGAGAGAGAGAGAGAGTTGGGTTGGAAGAGAGAGGAGAGAGAGATGGGTTAGAAGAGAGAGGAGAGAGAGAGAGTTGGATTGAAAGAGAAGCGGGCGAGTGGAGCCCATGGCAGCGGCGTTTAGGAAAAGTCTCCCAACAAATCCATTGGCCTGTCGGGTTTTAAATCTGTGTTTTTTAAAGGTTAAGGGAAAGTGGTGTTTTCTGAAATAAAGAGAAACAACACGTTATGAATGGTTTACAACTTTAGATTTATGAACCGTGGTTTAAGTTCCTTAAATTTCAAATCGTATTGGTTGGTTGCTCTCTCTCTCTCTACCCCTTAAATTGTAAACATGTAAAAAGGTTTGTTCAGCTAGTCTCTCTCTCCTTTAATTGTAAACCTAAGTTTGTTCAGCTATTGCCTCTCTTTCTTATATCTCAATCTATTAAGTTCCCACCCCAAATAAATAAATAAATAAATAATAATAATAATCTTAAAACACATTTGAAGGTTCTGTGCACCTTAAAACTAGGTGGTTCATATCAGTGTTTGGGAAAAAAAGCGAATCAGCCTCGAGAACATGCCAATGGCCGGTTTTGTGTAACCGGTAAATTGATTCTTAAAAAAGAAAAAAAAAATTAAATTTTTTTGAAAATTATATTTAAAACATGATTAAACGAACCAAATCCAAAAGAAGTTAAAAATTAGTGAAAAATAGATTTTAAAATATCGAATTTGTATCAAGGGTTTATTGAATTTTTTTTAAAAGATGAAAAAATATAAAAATAAATATTAATATCCAAAATACTTTCCAATCTTTACCAGAATGATAAAAAAATTCAAAAGCATATTACAAACAAATATCTTATTTTTTTAAAACTTCACATAATTTTTTAAAATACCCAATTAGACCACCAAAACCAGCCAAAACTAGATTGGCCAACAAGCCAAAACTAAATTGGCCAATGCATAGATCCGGTTTGACCAGCCCAGTTCACATCATTTGTTTCGTAATGGAGCTACTCTCTCTCAAACACACATAAGCACTAGGTTTTTACTTATTTTGCACCGCACACCTACGCTTGAGACCAAATTTTTTATGCAATTAGGGATAGGTTCCTTATTACTCTCTCTCTCATCTTGTTATTTTTTGGGCACCGCTAGCTAACTCTCTCTCTCTCTAGATTTCTACCTGTTTCTACGACAATGGCTACGCCTCCCTTTCTCTCTCTCTCTATATATATAAATATATATGTATAAAATATCTTGAACATTTTAAACTTATTTTTGCACCGTTTGTAGGTACACCTAGCTGTCTCTTTGCGAATGATGAACCATCTCTCTCCCTCTTCCCCACCTCACTACCCATCTCTATCATACATTTTATTTAATAAGGACGGTGATTTAAACGTTTGTTCTCTCTCTATGACTCTCACTCTCTCTCTCTATAATTTGAATGACAATAATGGAAACGCTTATTGGGTATTTGGACTCTCTCTCTCTCTATATAATTTGAATGACAATAATGGAAACGCTTATTGGGTATTTGGACTCTTTCTCTCTCTCTAAAAAAATACAACAATAATGGAAACGCTTGTTGGGACTCTCTCTCTTATTCCTTGTGGATAGTACGAACTATAAATTGTGTTTGTTGTTAGGTACTTGTAATTTGTTCATTGGAAAGGAAACATATATATGTATGAATCTGATACCATCATCGTTGATTTTCATCTGAGATTGGCCAAGCACACAAGGATTTAATCACTTTCTAAAGCATGTTACCGTCCTTATGCCCAAAGAAAACATAGGGTTACAAGTGCCCAATACCGTCCAAGCAACTGATAGACGGTGATGGAGAGAGATAGGAATACCGCCTGGATGATGTCTTGTACTGGTGGGTCCCGGCGGTCTCTCCATTCTTGTCCATCCATCCATTGAACGGAGTTGCATAACACGGCCAATCATAGGACCCAGTTTTTATGCGGCCAAACCGGTATATGTAGAAATGCAGGTTTATTAATAAATATATTTTTGAGATGGATTTTTGGACTTGATTTTTAAAGATATCTAATCTCTAACATGAATATGAAAAGATAAATAAATTTCAAAACCTAAAAATAATAATTTTATTAAGAAAACATCTGGACCGTTAGTTTCTATTGTTTTTTTGGATGGAACACCTACTTGCGTTCATTTTTAAGATGGATACTTTACATTTTTTTGACAGCATATATATAGTAATGCGGTCCAACCCACATGAGACAATTTTCCTTATTAAAAAACATTAGTGACATTACTAACCTGTGTTTGAAAAATCGCCAAACCCAATAGGACCTTGGGGTCCATCGTTCCGGATGGCCCTTGAATTGAGGAATTACCCATGTAATCCAGAGCTAAGCGGTTCATTTTACTGTTGGGACTATGGTGATTCTTAAATTCCAATCGATTTTCATTATCCTATGATGCCTTTAGTTGATTTCACCGATCTGGAATGAAAATCATGGATCCATATTGGGAATCAACAGGACTGAACCTGTTCTAATCCCTCCTCCCCCTTAAAACTCCCACCTTTAATATATATTTTTTAACCTTACCTAACATTTTTTTAGGTCCCCTATATCTCTCTTATAAAATCCTAATTTAATTTGTTATTTTCTAATATTGTATGGATCGATGAGTCTGACCGATTCGCCGTATAGGACCGCCCGGCTACAATGGCGAGTGCACTCGAGAATCGATTAAGCAGTATTTTTACAATGACATCATGCTCCTCGAGATCATATTTCGTTGTCTTAAAACTAACGGCCCGATGGTGATTGACATTCTCAGAGGTAAAATCTCGACCGTTTTTTTATCTAGAAGGGCTAAAAACCTAAGGAGGCTCCACGTGTCCCGTGGAGGGAGCGTGTTATGTGAATCGCTTTTGGGGCACATGCTACGTAATTTCAAAGGAGGAGAACGTTAGCGCGGCTCCCTGGCTTTTTAAGTAAGCTTAAGCTACATGGAACTTTGTGCTCCCGCGGGAGTACGCAAAGCAAAATTATCATGAACAGATCAACCATTCAAGGGTCTCAAAACCTTGTCTAACTAACTAGATTTCATAGTAGAAAAATATGAAGAATAAATAAAAATATGTAATAAATTAAAGTAAGGACAACTTTGTTTGACTAGTCAGGCTAGTTTGTCCGTTTGATTGCCTAAAACTGGGCATATATTGGTTTGGACCGATTTTTTATATAACTCGATTTTTACTTTGAACTCGACTATACAAAACACCAATTGGCAGTCCAACCTGTCGCATATACTTATTTATAAATTCTAAAGCTACCGGCTATAGAACTATTTCATCATATTATTGTCAAAAAAAAATTTAACTAATTGAAATTACATAAAAGCTGATTAGCTATCATGTTCTATCAAAAATCATACCTCACCAATCCCATAACAAAACAAAAGTAAATTAAAATTGAAGCTTAATTACTTATTAATCATCCTTAATCAAAATTCCTATTCTTTACTCTTTAAAAGGGAAGGTGCCTCTAGAAACGTGCTTAAGGAGGCGGAAAGCAGGGTTCCAAGGGCACCAAGACCAACATATCCAAGTCCGTGAATTGGGGACAGAAAGTGCCACGTGTACGGCTATAATTACATGTCGTGGAAACTTTTGACTGGCTTTTCCCTTCCCCTAAGCTATACATTTTAGCTTTAAGATGAGCTGTGTTGTTGCTTCGCTTTTGGACTCCTCTTCATGCGAATTTTTAATGAGTTAATTTATAGAAGGAATTAAAGAAATAAGTGTTAATAGTAAGAGTAGTCCAAAGTTTTAAATTTGTTTTAGATTTATGCTTTTTTTCAAGCAAGATTCATCATTATCGTCATAGTATTTTTTTTAATTAATTAGAGTCGATTATATTAATCGTGATCCGTCATTTTGCTCTATTAAATACCATATTCTCAATAAAATCACAAGTACCTATATCTTTTCTTACTATTTCCAAGTCTCAAACGTATCCTTTTGGTCTAATCCCATCGTTTTTTTAACATTCCACTTGAATTAACTCGCATCTCTAGTGAAAATAAATGAGGTTTGCAAAACCATAAAGATAGGTTATTTTGGTCAAGCCAAAAGGGTTTGCATACTGCAATCATTTATATTTTGAATAAGGAGGTTAGAAATACTTCTAACTATCGAATATCAAATCTGATAGCTTGGAGTGTATCACAAAGTTTGATAAAGTTCTTTTAAGACTTTACGAATAGTCAATGGCACACATCTATCCAACCAATTTTAAATCGAATGCCCGAGAGTGACTGTGAGCTCCATATACCAAAAGTAAATAGTCTTATTATGTACTTTTTTAAAACAAAAATAGTTACCTCAATGGTAAAGTTCCCATATTTTTGTCAAAGGACAACATTGGTTTAATAGGCTCGGAATTGACTCGCTTGGGCTGGCTCAATTGGGAAACCAGGCGAGTCAACAAACAAACCTTGGGAGTAATTCTAATTCCCACATTAAATGCTTTTTTTTTTTGCTTAAAAAATCACCGTTTCGAGTTGGGAATCATTTTATTCGAATCGAGTAAGACCCTAACAAGTCGTAGCGCGTAGTTCGTAATTTAGGGAAATTACATAAGTGTTTTCTATTATTATTATTATTATTTGCACAATCATTCTTCAAATTTCTCGTAATCTTCTTGGTCGGGTCCAAGAAGTATTATACCAAATTTGAGGAAAAACAAGAGCTCGTAGAACCCCCAAAATAAGAACGGGGCAGATATTGTTGCAAATATTTTTTCCTTTACAAATGATAAAATTGAACCAAGTACTAGTATTGTAAATTTTAGATTTGTTTAGTTAGGTCTGTAGTCTCGTCAGTATG